GGCAGCCCGGCTTGCCGGGGGCTCAGGAAGAGCTGGAGCTGGTGACCAGTGAGCTGAGTCCTGAGAATGAAAATGTATTTTCTCGAATGTGCTGTGGATTTTCCTGGAGCTTGGGAGGTGCTGAACTGGGCCCTGAAGTCGTGGTTCTAGGCAGAGGAAAATGTGAATTGTCCCCAGACAGGGGGACCCCTGTAGTCATAGGCCAACCTCCTCATTTTACAGAGAAGTCACGTTGGCGGAAGTCAAGGGTTCCTGGAGGGTCTCGGTAAGCAACGTGAGCCGCACCGGGGTCTTCCTGGCTGTACATTGACTTCCTAGTGTACCAACCGAGGCTCCAACAAGTTTTCTTTCCTTCGTTCAGCTAAAAACATTATAAATATCCGGGTAGGCATTGGAGCAAAATTGAAAATGCAGATAAGCAAACCAGAAGTCTGCCAAGTCCACATTACAAGAGCCCAGGTCTGGTCGTAACTGAGATGAGGTGCGGCCCTGCTGCACCTGACCCGCAGCCACCTGCTCCCCTCCTGGGAGAGACAGGGCCCGGGTGAGCCAGGCCTGCAGCTGGTGTAGGTGTCAGGGTGGCACCACTGGGCCCTCGCCAGTGCCCCACTCATAAACAGGGCCCTCCCTCCGAGCCACACCTGGTCACCTGGGCTGCAGGGAGAGGGCGGGAGGAATACCGAGGATGCCTTCTCCCTGCCCGCGCATCCTCCCTCCTGGATGGGGAGCTGGAAGGCTGAGCCCGGCACCCACACCCATCACCCCCTCTTAGGCAGCGGTGAGGGGATGAATCACCTGTGGAGCTTGTTAGCCACTCGGCGCCCAGGTCCACTGCACAGAGTAGCTGCGAGCGAGGCCCAGGCATGGTATTTATTTAAACTCCCAGGTGGTTCCATTGGGCAGCTGGGAATGAGAGCGGCTGCCTCAGGGACCGGGTGGTATCCAAGGTCTCTGAGCCTCAGTTTAGCATCTGGAAACAATTCCGATGCCCCTCCCCCGCCCCCGCTTTAGGAAGGTTTGAGAAGCTGAGTCAGCACGAGAGAGGGAGAGTGAGAGGAGTGAAGGTAATTGAGGGCTTTGATAATAGTCTTCAGTCCTCTAATTCGTCTTGGGAATAAGAGAGGTAACAGGTGCTCACCTTCTTGCCAAGGTACTTTGGGTCTGCCAACAGTCCCCGAAAGACGGTCAGAGGGAGGGCTGGCCAAATAGCTGGATGAGTGAGCTCTACCCCCAGCCCCCTGCCTGCCCATTCCCCCTCCTTACACTGCGGCGGGAGCCCCAGGACATGGGATCTGGGGCCCTCCCCTGCCCCCTTTATCTGTTCATCAGTTCGTGGTGTTAAAGGTCAAAAACATTGTTCTGAACGAGCCCAAACTCTTAATATATTTGCCTGAAAAGTGCCTGCGTTAGGTTTACTAATCTCCACTTCCGTCTGTTCTGTTCAGAAGCGCCCCCAACTCCCTCGGCCCCTACCCTGAGGAGGCTCTTTGTTAGATAACAGATGGACGTGCAGACAGGTGTGGACACACAGGAAGGAAGAGCCCAGCCCAGAGCAGGGGGCGGATGGGCATTCGGCTGCCTTGTGAAGCTGGGGGCAGCTTGGCGGGGGCTTCAGGACTGGGGTTCAGAGAAGCCACCACGCCTGGCCTCGGCCTCACCTGGGGAACGCAGCGTGAGGACCAGCGTGTGGCCTTGCTCCCTCCGCAGCCGGCCTGCCTTGCTTGGCTGTGCGGGAAACCGGCCAGGGTGGCGGGGAGCCTCTGGCGGGCAGAGGTCCGGAGAGATGGGCCTTCTGACGGATGGGGTGGCACATCCTGGGCGTGCCTCTGCCAACTCAGGGGGAGCCTTAACACACACCCCGACCCCCAGGTCCCCCGACTCGCTGTCCGGGGGCCCAGGAGCACCTACCTGCTAGTTTCGGTGTCCCTGTTCTCACCCAGGCTTGTCCTGCAGGTGCAGAGAAGTAAACCCCTCGACCTTTGATTTACCTTTGGGGACAAGCGGTCTTCCCCCCGGGGTGTCGGGTCACCACTGGGTCTGGTTTCCTCATGACACTGACTGCAGGTACGTTCATTCAGCACTTCCAGTGTCCTAGGTGCTTTTCATGTTTGGGGTAGGTGCTCTTTTTGGCAGATGGAGGAACTAAGGCTGATAGGCTGTTATTTACCCAGAGACTTGGTGCCAGCAATTGAGAGAGGACCGCCCCCCGCCCAAGTCACACCCAGGTCAGCCCCACATTTCCATGATCTTCTCCCAGGAGAGGGCCAGGTCTGGTTCGAGAGAGAGGCCTGTCGCCCCCCTTTATATTCCTTTCCCTGTTCTCCACACGTCCACAGCCCCCTAGGAGAGTTTCTGGAGGGGGCAGGCCTCCCCTTCCTGCAGGAAGGACAGTCCCTCCAGTCACCCCAGGGACTCTCCCAGCCCCACTGCCACCCGCTCTGCCTTCTTGGACGAGGGGGCTTTTGTTTGCCTCCCTCACCTCACCCCTTCCTAGCCCCCGACCCCCAGGACCTTCAGCCCCCCTGCCCTCTGTTCTTGCAGCCTGCTGACCCCACCCTTCCCTCCCCCCCGACACGTTGGATGCCCTGCATTCACCCCCTGACCCCACCAGCCACACTCTTACCGGGGTCTGACTGTGCTTCCCGCCCTCTTGCTGGATAAAGCCCTGCCCCTTGTTGCTGATGAATTTATTAAATCCACCTGCAGAATAATGCTAGGAAGGTGTTGAAGGAAGGACATGAGAGGGTGAGTCAGTCGAGGTCAGAGAAGATATCCTCATTCATTCAAGTTCGTTTACTCACTTCTTTAACAAATGTTTGTTGAGCACCTACTATGTGCCAGGCAGTGTCCTCGGCTCTGGGGGTACCGCAGATGAAAGTCCTGCCCTCATGGAGCTTACCTTCTGGGGGGTGATCTTTGCATTCCCATGGACGTTTCCCTTGCGTTTGCCTGGTTGTGTTCTAGAGACTAGAACCCGGCTAGTCTAGAGACCTAGAGACCTAGACCTAGTCTCTAGTTCTAGAGACCCGGCTTCACTTCTGTAGCTGAGAAGCCCACCCTGCACCCCCTGTCCCCTCTCCCCAGCTGTGGACAGCACAGGGGTTACGAGCCAGACTGCCTGGGTTCACACTCCGGCTCCACCGCTGCCTAGCAAGTTACTTACTTAGCCTCTGTGCCTCATTTTCCTCAGCTGTAAATGGAGGTGAGAGTACCTACATTACAAGGTTGTAAAAACTCAACAAGCCGAGTGATTTAAAGTGCTGTGATTGTGCCTGTCATAAAATAGGTGCTCAGATATCAGCTACTATTCAAATAGGAGCTATCATCTATGAAAGGAGGAGGAATCCACCATGCCCTGCCCACCTCCCAAGGTGGCTGGGAGGGCCAGGTGAGAGGGACATTAAAGGCTCTTCCTACTCCGCCAAGCACCGTGCACACATGACATTGGTCTCATTCCCCTTCCAGGCCGGAGGGACCAAGTGAACGGAGGCGGAATGAATTAGGGATGGATGCAGCCAAGGATGGTGAGGGGCGTCCGCTTGTGTACCTTGACGCAGCGCGGATCCGGTGGAGGCTGGCATCCAGGGCATCCTGGAGGCCGATCCTACATGGCAGGAAGGGGCCCCTGTGACCTGAGCGTGAGGTCTGCCGCGGGAGCTGGAGGCAGGCAGGGCGGTGGCCCTGTGGGTGCCCCTAGCTGCTGTCCGCAGGCAGGCTGCCACCTGGACTTGTTTTCCCCACTGGCCTGATGAAGGCAAAGGCCCGACCTCAGCCCCGCTGCCCGTGTCTGCAGGTGGGCACCAGGTACGGGATGTGCCCTCCCTGCAACTCTGCAGAATGAATCTCCAGGATGGGGAGGCCTGGCACTGCCTCTGCACAGGAAACCCCGGACCCCTGGGGGATGAGGCGCCGTGGGGAATGCAGATTGCATGGACAGCGAGATTCTGGGAGGGTGGTGTCTGGGGCAGCATGTTGCCTGAGCCACAGGCAGGGGCGGGAATGTCTCCTCCCGGAGGGCTCAGGTCTGAGTGGATGGGCTGGTTTTAGGGCACTGTTTTTCCAGGTGGTGCGAAGGGGTGGAGGTATGCACTGGCCTCCTTCCTGTGGCCTGTGTGGGACAGGGGTGGGGTACCAGCAGCCAGGGCCCAGATGAGGCAGGCTCTACTCCTGGCTTCCTTGCTTTTAGCATCCCGACCTTAGGCTACTTTCTTAACTTCTCAGACTTAAGTCCTCGTTTGCAAAATGGAAAAGATGATGGTGTCTTCCCAGCAGGATTCTTTCCTCCTTAAAGATGAGCTGAAGGCACCTAAAGTGCTCAGCGCATTTGGTGCATAGTCACCTCTCAGTAAATCACAGCCGCTTTATTATGAGGGTGACAGGCGGGGAGGAGAGCTCTATTCCATCCTCAAACCAGAGCCGGGCCTGGGCTGTGTGCGGCATCCCCCTCTCCCATCACTCTTTAGGGATATGTGGAAAATGAAGATATTGTCTTGTGTGAATTTGGAGGCCAAGTTAAAGAATCCTGTGACTGAACAGGGGCCGTCTCCTGAGAAAGCTGTTTCCCTAACCCCGGGGGACGGGATGCTGTGTCCAGTGGCTCCCCCTCACCCAGGGATGGCCTCAGTCCTGGGTCAAGCCCCTCTCTTCTGGGGGACCTCTCCACCGGCCAGTGGGACCCTGACCGTAACCAGTGAGGTGTTCCGACTGAAGCCACAGCAACACGGGGTGGGAGCAGGGAGCAGGCAGCCCAAGTTCACATGCGGACCTCTGCTCCCCAAGCCTAGCTTTCCTCCTCTGTCAAGTGATGCCTGGCAGAATCGCAGGAAGAGCCCGTTAGGGAACATATAGAAAAGCCCCAACAAGAGGAGTCTGCACAGCAGCACTAAAATCCTGCCTGTCTCCCCAGCATTGGGATGGAGCCAGGCTGATTCCCAGGCCAGCTGCTTGGGACCCGTGGGCAGAGAGAAGGCAACAACAGGGGTGCTGGGGGCGTCCAGGGACAGGGAGAGCAGCGAAGGGAGAGAGGTGGGGAGCCCGGCTGACTTGCAAGAGACAGTCTAGAACCTGGCCCAGTTCTGCCAGTTAACCTCTCAGCCACAGTCTCCTGACCTGACCAGTGGACATAACTACCGCCACTGGCCTGTTGTCAGGGTGAGTGGTGCTTCTGGCCCTGGGGGACTTAGGGCCCTTCAGAATGTCCCCTTTGTCTGCCCCCCCTCTGGGTGACCATGGAGAGATAATGGAGGTCAGGGGGACAGCACGTGGGGCTGTGGCTCCCTGATAACCCAGGGCAGAGGCTGGGTCTGAGGGCTGTGCCCCAAAGGACACATCCTTGGTGGGGTGAAGAGCAGGAAGCCAGCTTTTCTACTGCAAAGCTCCCAACCATAATGCCCTCTTCAGTTACCCTGTTTTGCCAGCTCTTACGTTTGTTGTCTCCTTAGCCTTTACTAAGCGATTCCCAAGTCGCAGATCACCTTTGGCAATCCATCCAGTGTTATCTCAGTGGGGGCAGCGTGGACGTGGCGTGTGGGGCTGTCCTGTGGGTGGCAGGGCATCTCACCTCTCTGGTCCCTGCTCGCCTCATGTCAGGAGCACCCCCAGCATCCACTAGAGTAGATGTGTGGGGAAGACAGGGATTTCGTCCCTTCACTGCTCTCCCCCTGGTGCCCGGACCAGTGCCCGGCACATACAAGGCACATACTCAAGCAGCATTTCCAAACACTTCCAGAGGGTGCTACCACCCCAGTTGAGAACCCCTGTTCCAGTCACACCTTCGCCATCGCTGAGGTGTGCTGGTCTCCCTGGGTCTAAACACTTTCCATGATCGCAAATGGAGGACTGCCAAGGGCAATCCATTCTGAGGTAGCTCGTTATCCAAAACAGCCACCCCCGTTCCCTCTGGTACCTTGGCCCACTGGTTAACATATCATGAAGTCCGACACCCAAGAATGGAGCAGAGTGCCCCCCATGTGGCCTCACCTACAGAGGACAGTGGGCTCGTTGCCTCCCAGCCCTGAAGAGATAAGGTATTGACACTGCCCGAGATTGTATTTGCTTTTTTTTGGCAGCCATACCAGTGTTTGTTGGTTTGTGGTCAGCTGAAACCCAAGGACTTTCCCTTTCAACCCTGTATGGGTCAGTGCCTTCTAACCCAAAGTGTAAGACATGAAAAATTTAAAAGACAGCCATATCTTGTTAGTTCGGGCCCATTTTTCCAGTCCAGATGATTTTGAGTCCCAAACTGCCATTGCAGTGTGTTAGCTATCTTCCCATCCCAGCCTTGTCCCAGTTTTGCATCCTTTGCAGATTAAACTGGTCAGCCATCTTCGTCCTTACTGTGTTGTAGATTAAGGGACTGAAGAGGCCTGGCCTTTGGCTTAATGGAGACCTCAGGCCAGGCAGATAATTATCAGTACTTCTTGGGGTTGTTTATCTGCCTTTACGTGGACCCGGATTAACCCCGGTTCCTCCCTACATTTCTCTGTCTTGTCCACGTGAATATCTTTAAGCCCATCTGTTCAGTTGCCTTGCTGCTATCCAGACTGACTGCATTCCACTGAACTTCAAGGCTTTGCAGACTCTTTGGAGTGGGAGATGCACTTAGCTGAGCATGACTTGCTCTGGTGAACCTGTGCTAGTAGCTTCCAGTGCCCACCACTTCCTCTTTGAATATGCCAAACGTGCTGCTGTCTCCAAAGAAGAGTCAGCAAGAGTTCAGGTTTGAGTTTCTAGAATCTACCCTTTTTGTTCGTATGAGAAGGCGGGGGTAGGGTGGCGGGGGGCAGCTTGTCTTCTGACATCTTTCCTGTTCCTCCGGGATTCCATGGGGATGACCAGGGGTGGTGCCCCAGGCCCATGATTTCCTGGTCAGTTGTCATCCGTCTTGGGCTGTGCTTCCTGACAATGCTGCACTAACCCCCCCATGCCCCCCGCCCGCCCGAAGATGGATATCTGAGATAACAAAGGCTGTGGCCAAAGGGAGCCCGTAGTTCTGCTTTCCCTGCCATCTGTTTAACATTAACATCCAGGGCCCTGGGACTTTTCATTCTCCTGTTTCGAACGTGGATTTCATGGTTTAGAAAACCTTTTGGGTGCACCTCCAACAGGATAGACCCGTTGGCCTCTTCGTATCTGAACGTCCTGGTGCTTTTGCGTGGAAGTGGCCTGGCCGGCTTGGCGGCCGCTCTCTGAGGGCAGGTGAAGGCAGCCGTCCCCACTTCCCGCTTTGCAGAGAGATGCTCAGGAAATAGCAGGGGGAGGCAGGGCGGTGAGCCCTGTGGTTTGACGGCCTGTCAAATGAGCACGTCATCATGGAAAATTCCTTACAAAGTCTGCAGATCCGTTTACACAGGCCTGCCGCTGCAAACTGCACATTCCTTCAGGACAACCCACCCTTCCCTCTTTTCTCACCAAACTTCAGTCGTGCCGCAGGGAGAACTCCGGTTTTTCCACCTCCCTCCTGCTTCCATCCTTCACTCCTCTGTCTTTTCTCGGTCCTAGGCTTGATTTTTAGAGGCAATTTGGCTGAGTTTCTGGTTTCTTAGCTGGTCCATCCTGGGGCTCTCCTAGGGGGCAGGGGCAGGACCCCAAATTGAGAGTGGATCCTGGCCCCTCCTCGGGAGCCACCTTCTGAGGTCCGGGTCCTGCCAGCGGTGGGTGTGGGTGAAGGGAGGTAGCTCAGGAGGATGGGGTACAGGCAGGGCCTGGGCGGTGAGCAGGTTTGGCAGCTGCCTGTGTTCCTGGAACAGTTAAGGAAGGCCTCTCTGGGTGCCTCCCAGTGTACTTCCCCAGGTGACCTCTCACCTGCTGCTACCCATAGTTGCCGGGAGCTCCGTGGGGACTCGTAGCATGAATTTGTCACCCTGAAAAGTACACACCACCTTCTGATGACCTGTCCTGGCCCAAACCTTGAAGTTGCTCAGCCCAGGGCAGAGAGAAAGGGATCCAGGGAAGGGAGGGAAGGGGGAGCTTGTAGCGGGGAGAGGACAGTCCCAGGCATGGGAGAAAGGAGGCCAGCTGATATGTCCGCCCTCGGAGGACAGACCCAAGAGCTTACCGAGCTGACCTTAGCAGGTGTCCTGACAGTGGGGGTGAAAGGCATGTCGGGTGTGGGGGGCGGTCCCTCCCAGGCCAACCCTGTAGTAGAATGCTTTTCCGGAGGTCCTCCTGTTTGTCTGCATCACATCTGCCTTCTTTCAGAGGCAGAAGAGTCTGCTGCGGTTCTCAAACTGTGGTCCCGGGACCACAACATCAGCATCACCTGGAACCTTGTTAGAAATGCACATTCTCTGACTCCCTCCCAGACCTACTGAATCAACCTCTGGAGGTGGGGCCCAGCAGGCTGTACTTAAGAAGTCCTCCAGGTGATTCTAGTAAGTTTGAGAAGCACTGGCTCAGTGAGAGAAGGCACTTTGGAGCCGGATTGCCAGGGTTCATATTCTTACCAGCTGTGTGACCTTGGGCAAATCACTTAACCTCTCTGATCTTCTATAAAATGTTTCACCACCTATAAATTGGAGACAGTAACTGTCACTTTGTTATTGTGATGATTAAATAAGAATGCTTATAAGGAAGTTTATAAAGTGCTGACCTCTTCTCTGACCTTCATTGTGTCTCTCTTTTTAGATAGTATCTGACGCTGCAGGACAGGGTGTGGCCATCACAGGGAACCAGACCTTCAACAACTGGAACTGGCCCAACGCAATGATTTTTGCAGCCACGGTCATTACCACCATCGGTAAGTCTTCTGGGACCTTCAGGATACCTACTTCCACGTCCGAGCTCCCCAGAATCTTGTAAGAGTCCAGCTCTGGTCACATGGCCTTGTCGAGGTTAAGATCAGGCCAGCTGCACTCTGTCCTTCTGACACGTCCCTGGAGATTTAGTAAGTCCTTGGGGACTGGCCATGCTTAGGAGACTGTTTTCTAGAAGTCCTGACCTGGGCTTTGGAGTAGAAACAACACAGCTTGACAGCCAGAGTTCGAGCAGGTTGCTCACTGCACAAATGGACCCCGTGCTTATTCGCCAGTCTGGGTGTCTGTTCTGGTCATCTATGACTGTATCACCGACCACCTCAGAAGTCAGTGGCTTAAAACACAATTTAGTATTATTGTTGGCCATTCTGTGAGTTGATGGGGTTTGGCTGGTTGGTTCTTGCTTGAGGTCTCTGATGCCGCGGTAGTTGGAGTGGCTGGGGCCGTGGTCATCCAAAAAAAAGCCCAGTTGGCTGGAAGTCCAAGATGGCTTCTTCTAGCGCATGTTTGGTAGTTGGTGCTGGCTGTTGCTGGGGAGCTTAGCTGGGCGTGATTGAGCATCTCACAGTATGGCAGCTGGGTTTCAAGAGGGAGACTCCCCAAAGCGAGCATTTCAGGAGATCAAGGGGAGAAGCAACAAGGCTTCTGATAAGGACTTAACTGACTCAGGGTCCCTTCTGCCACATTCCATGAACAGGTCACTAAAGCCCAGATTCAGAGGGAGGGGAATCAGAGGCCAGCTGGATGTGAGCATAAGAAGGGACGGAATTAAGAATCACCGTCTTTGGAGACCATCTACCACAGTGCTTCTGGGGTGTCTACCCAGAGAAACTACTAACTGGTACCTTGTAACTTGCTCAAGGGTGCCATACGGACTCGTGGAGGACTTGCTAATGGTGGAGGCTTAGCCCGCCTTCAGAGAGCTCCCAGTCTGACGGAGGAGACATACCGTTATAATTGCTATAAATGATCCTGATCGTAGCATGGTCAAGGGAAATTTCATTTCTGAAGCATTGATATTAATCAGTGTCACGTGGTCTTAGGGAATGGGCTTTCCTCGGGCTGGGTGTGTGGCGGGGGCGGCCGAGGCAGGTGCCACTCCGAGTCTGGGCCCATCACCCCCGCCGTGGCTCTGTTGGCCTCACTCTTCTTTTTCCTCAGGCTATGGCAACGTGGCCCCCAAGACCCCCGCCGGGCGCCTCTTCTGTGTCTTCTATGGTCTCTTTGGGGTGCCGCTCTGTCTGACATGGATCAGTGCCCTGGGCAAGTTCTTCGGGGGACGTGCCAAGAGGCTGGGCCAGTTCCTCACCAAGAGAGGCGTGAGCCTGGTATGTCCCCACCCCTAGGTCCTGGGCAGAGATGGGGGGACCCTGGCAGGTGATGAGGGGGTGGGAAGGATCTAAGAATTGGACAGAAGTGTCAGGACAGGTGGCAGGGGAGCAGTTTCAGAGCCCGCTGCCCTCCTGCGTGAGGCTGGGAGCATCACCACCAGCCCCCTCCCCTGGGCAGTGAGCCTCCCAGGCCTGGCGCCCAACCGGCCTCACCTCTGGCTGCCTCCTCGGCCCTCTGGGTGCTCTGCTGGGCTCCCCCCGGTCTCCACCACCGTCTGACTTGGTCTCCCCACCCTTTCCCCTCAGCGCAAGGCGCAGATCACGTGCACGGCCATCTTCATCCTGTGGGGCGTGCTGGTCCACCTGGTGATCCCACCCTTCGTGTTCATGGTGACAGAGGAGTGGAACTACATCGAGGGCCTCTACTACTCCTTCATCACCATCTCCACCATCGGTTTCGGCGACTTCGTGGCCGGTGAGTCCTGCCCCTTTCCTCTGCCTCCCCACCCTGTCTTTCTCTGCTTCTCCTCCAATTTCAATGCAGCTGGCCTTTACCGGGGGCCCTGGTAGGCGTCCAGTGTCCTGGGCCTCCACCCAGTGGGACCCTGCCAGTTGCAAGAGGAAACCAAGGCACAGAATAATTGCAGACGTTTTCTATTTCTCTTTCTTGGAACGTGGATTTTCCCTCCTTCTTCTCTGTTCGTGTTTGGCGTCTGGTCTCTTCCTCTCTTCTCCCCCATCTCCTGAGCTTAGGTGCTTAGGTGCACTGGGGGCTGGAGGTAGAGCCTTCTGCCTACAGGGTCCACGTCACAGCTGCCTCCTCCCATCATTCCCAGGCGCTGAGGGGGCTGTGCAGGACGCTTGGCTCAGAGACCAGAAACTTTGCTCTTGCCACTGGCAGCTTAAAGACCAGAGAGGCCTTCCCCCAAGCTGCCCTGCTCCCTCGGGGCCCGGACCCTCCCTCCCTCCCACTCCTCCCCTACTTAATCCACACGGGCGATAAGATTCTTTGGCCCCTTTGTCTGTCAGCTCCAGCCACTCATGTCCTTGTGCCTGTGGCCTGCACAGCATCTTGGTTCTTAATCTTCCTGACACCCCATTTGGCTGCACTGGCCCAGTGGCTGCTCCCTCAGTGCCTGCTGCCCTGCCCAGCTGACCTTCACCTCTGCTCCAGGACCTCCGATCTCTCCCCTCCCCCTTCCTAGGGCCAGGGACAGGTCACTACCCTCCTGCCCCATTGTAAGGGGAGACTCGGAATGCTGGGAGGGGGCGGCTGAGTGGGTGGGAGAAGCAGGAAAGAGAGGCCTGAACACTCCACTGACCCTGGCAGATCTGAGCCTGCTGTCTTGAGAGATAAATTTAGACGGAGGCACAACCCTGCCATTGTCTAGCTGTTGGGGCCCAGAGCAGGCTAAGGAGGACCCTTCGTATCAGGGAAGCACAGAAGGGTGTTTAATCATACTTTCTCAGCTCCAGCAAGACACCAAACCACTGCCTCAGTTTCCCCATCTGTAAAATTGGTTTAAAAAAAAAAAGTAACGGTGCATATACCTCACAGGGTTTTGGACAATCAAATGAGTTGCTATTCATGAGTGCAGTGGATAGGGCCCGGTTATATTAGTGTGCCCCGGTTGTCATCATAGCCTTAGGACCGGAGTCCTGAGCAAGATTGACAGCACCTCCTGGCTGCAAGGGAGACAGCCCTGCCTTCAGACTCCCTCCAGTCTGATGAGGGGGTTATAGCCCTTGCTCTAAGGGAGCCCCACTCCGGAAGTGGCCCCCTTCCTCCAGTTCCTTTTCCAAGTTTCTCCCAGTCTCAGGGCAGGAAGGGGGACACAGGATACGTAATAATATGGATCAACATGCCTGGAAGTGTAATGTGAAATCTCCGTGATCCTGGAGGGTAGGGGAGTGACCAGAGCTGTGCAGGGTGACCTGGGAGGGCTCCCTGGAGCAGGTGTCTGGAGCCTGGCCACGGAAGTGGGGGTGTGGAGAGGGCAGAGCCCTCCAGGCCATAGGAGGAACCAGTAGGACGAGGGTAGATACAGGAAGTCAGGAGGCAGGCCAGACGTCACCAGAAGGAGAATCAAGGCCGTCCAGGATATTTCCTGCTAGGACCCGTGCTCTTGGACATCCCAGGCCCAACTGTCAGCCTCACTTATATTAACTTAGTGAGTCCATCCCCAGCAGGAGGATGCCAGCTGCCCTGTCACTTAATTTCTATCCAGGTTTTAACGGAACTGTAACACGTACACCCAAAAAGTACACAAAGCAGCCAAGTGTCAGTGTCGGTGAATCATTGAAAGGCCGACATTCATGGCTTAGCTCCTGACCTGAGTGCTGGCTCCATCACCAGCCTCCCCAGAGCCCCTCCCCCTTGAAGCTCCCCCACCCCAGGGAGACACTCTCCTGACCTTTGATAGTTGAGGAAGCTCAGGCAGGGGTCTGGGACAGGCACATGAGTGACCAGGCCAGGGTTCTCAGGACGATGGGGTGTCCGGCTTCTAGCACAGGCCTCCTTTCTTTCTTGGTGCATCCGCATCGGTGTTCTGTGTTCTTGCGCTGTGTCCACTTTCAGGTGACACGGCTTTTGGCCTTTGTGTGTTTCCGGGTCCCCGCTGGCCCTTCCCTGACCCTCTGGGCTTCCTGACCCGTCCTCAGGTGTGAACCCCAGCGCCAACTACCACGCCCTGTACCGCTACTTCGTGGAGCTCTGGATCTACCTGGGGCTGGCCTGGCTCTCCCTCTTTGTCAACTGGAAGGTGAGCATGTTTGTGGAGGTGCACAAGGCCATTAAGAAGCGGCGGCGGCGCCGGAAGGAGTCCTTCGAGAGCTCCCCACACTCCAGGAAGGCCCTGCAGGTGGCAGGGGGTGCGGCGTCCAAGGACGTCAACATCTTCAGTTTTCTGTCGAAAAAGGAGGAGACTTACAATGATCTCATCAAGCAGATCGGGAAGAAGGCGATGAAGACGGGCGGCGGTGGGGAGCGGGCCCCAGGGCCGGGCCTGGGGCCCCAGGGGGGTGGGCTGACAGCCCTGCCCACCTCCCTGACCCCCTTGGTGGTCTACTCCAAGAACCGGGTGCCCAGCCTGGAAGAGGTGTCCCAGACGCTGAGGAGCAAAGGCCATGTGTCTCGGCCACCCGGCGAGGAGGCCGGGGCGGGGCCCCCCGAGGAGGGCTCCCCGACCTCTGAGGTGCTCATTAACCAGCTGGACCGCATTAGCGAGGAGGGCGAGCCGTGGGACGCCCAGGACTACCACCCGCTCATCTTCCAGAACGTCAGCATCACCTTTGTGAACGAGGAGGCCGGCCTCTCGGACGAGGACACCTCCAAGTCCTCACTGGAGGACAACCTGGCTGGGGAGGAGAGGCCCCAGGAGGGGGCCCCGGCCGAGGTGCCCCTGAACCTGGGCGAGTTCCCCTCGTCGGATGAGTCCATCTTCACCAGCACTGAGTCAGAGCTCTCCGTGCCTTACGAACAGCTTATGAACGAGTACAGCAAGGCAAACTGCCCCAAAGGCACGTGAGGTGGGGCCGGCTCCCCACCCCACCTTCCATGGCTTCTCTTCTCCTCAACCTGGGGTGTCCTACTGTGGCTGGGACCCTGGCCCCTGGTGGGGTGTGGCCCTGGAACTGGGAGTAGGGGGCCAGGGGCCTTCCTCACCTTCATCCCCTGCAGCTAGATGCTACCGGTCAGACATGGGACACCCAGGACCGGGCCTCTGTTCACCAGCGGAACAGGCGCCCTGGCAGCGGGAGGCATCTGTCCTGAGCATGGTTGGGGGATCTGGTGGTTCACGGACGCGTGGGCTGGAAGGACTGATCCCGGGGAGGCCTGCACCTGCGTGGGTCGTTGCTCAGTCATTCGGTTAAGACTGTCTCACGGTTCTCTTAGGTTGGGGGCCTTGGCCGTTTGAGTTCACCAGTATTAACAAGTTCCTGTGCGCCCAGCACTGAGCCAGAGAGAGGGTGAGGGCGGTGTAAGACCCTGGTGGGGTTGGGGGCTGGGCACTTCAGCGCCTCAGCAGTAGTGGGGCCCCGCCTGGGGCACGTGTTTAACCGTCCCCCAGTCCCACCTCGTCCGCCTGGCTGTCGCCCATACTGCAGACCTCAGTAGGGAGGAGGCCATCTGGGGAAGGGGAGCTAACAGGCAGGTGCTGAAACACTCCCGTTACGGGGGACTCAGAGCAAGTCCCAAGTGTGGCCCAGCATCTCAGCCCTTGTGTGGACTTACTGGGATGGAGCGCAGCCCAGAGTCCGGTTGCCTGTCCCAGACACCCTTTGGCCAAGCAATGGCAGGCGTGGGCTTCTGCCTCCCAGGAAGTGGTGGCAGAAAGAGAGGCTGGGGCTCCTGGAGCTGGCAGCGGGGGAGCTGCAGGAGTGGGCTCAGCTCCGGCTGAACCTGCCTCCACCCTTCCGTCCCGTGACCTCACCGCTCCCCAGATCACTCTTGGCTCACAAGTGGGGAATGTCCAAATATGTGAATCAGCCTCCTCCCTCCAGCTGCTGTTTGGTGTGTGTGTGTCTCTGTCCGTCTGTCTGTGTAAGAAAGAAAGGATTTGCAATGGGAGGAGCAAAAGATAATGTGAAACTGCAGATGGACTGTTTCTGGTGAGGGGCTGGCAGAGTTCTTGGGTTCTTCGTGAGGTGCACCCTTGGGCCAGCCCACTCTGCCCTGCATGTTGTGTTTTGTTAGTTTTTAAATGAATTGCTGTTTTCTTTTTTATCTCGTTGGCTTCAGAGCCAGAGGGGAGAAAAGGTGCAAGAGTGGGGTCCCAAGGATCGGGATGTCCAATGTTCACCCTCCTATCCCCCAACCCAGTTGGGCCTTTCTCGGTGACCTCAGCCAAGGTCATGGTGTCAGAGTTGGGGAGGGGCATTGGTCGCAGGCGACTGGATGCTGGGCAGGAGGTGCCACCCAGACACCCTCTCTGCCTCTCAACCCCCTCCCCAATGCTGCAGGACCAAAGAGGGCCAGAACCTCACCCATCCCCACTTAGCCTATAACCCAGGGGTATGATGGCCCAGCATCAGGGTGGGAAGGAGCGGCCTTCTGTTTTTCTGTGAAATGTTTTAACGAGCTCGTCTTAGTTTTCCTGACCCCACTTGGCTGGGGTGTTGCTGGCTGTCCTGGAATCACACACACTGTATGTACATACTGGCAATGATGTCAAATGTAATTTATTTTAACATTTTTACAATAAAACATGAGATGGACAAGCCAGTCTGATGCGTGCTATTGCAGGGTGGGGGGAGAGGGGCTGGCGGCAAGATGGGGGGGCAGTCTGGGAGGACTGAGGACAGCCTGAGAGTCAAGGGGAGAACTGGGGTGGTCTGGAAGGGACAAGAAAATGAAAGAGGTGGGGAGGTGGAGAAGGGGCAGGCTACGTAAGATGTGGTCAGGGCGGGCTTCTTGGAGGAGGTGACAGTTAACAGGTTGGAATGAGGACAGGGGAGAGGAGTGGGGGGACCGTGGCTAGCAGCTCATGTTGCCAGTCTGCCAGACCCCGTTCTACACGCTTTATGCTCAATAGTATGTGAATGGACTCATTTGATCTTGCAATAGCCCTGTGAGGTGGGTATTACATCCCCATTTTATAGGCGAGGAAACGGGCACAGAAAGGTGACTTAGGGAAGATCTCCATAGATGGTGAGCCTGGGTTCAAACCCATGCAGCCCCCATGACCAGCTAACAATCACCTGCTCTGTTGTGGCACGTCTGGCGTCCCCTGAAAGGGCCTCTGTGTTCAGGAAGGTGGGCCAGGGAAGGACCCCGGAGATCAGGCCTTCTGAGCTCAAGGGCTGGGCACTGTGGGCTGGAAAGGACGTGAAAGAAGAGTGGACAGGCTCAGCTGGGCCCATATGCATCCATTTAACAGGAAGATTTGTCAGACTTTGTGGTCTCAACGGTTTAGAAATTGGCCTCTTCCACAGCAGTGTCAGGGTCCCCTTCCCACACCACACAGGACATTGGTTAAAATCTTCAGTCTGCTGGGAAAAGTTTACAGTTCTGTGATTTCAGGAATGAAGCACATTTTTCATGAGGGTGTGGCTGCATTTATAAAGGATCATATGTGTTTAAAATATCAACGGGTTCTGTAATGACTTGATACCATCCATCCCTTTGCCAAAACATCTTTCCACTTTCCTCTCTCTCTCTCTCTCTCTCTCTCTCTCTCTCTCTCACACACACACACACACACACACACACACACACACACACAGGTTCAAACTTATCTGGTTTTGCTTTAGCCCCTTCCAGCCTCAAGGTAACAGTTCTATTTACTACCGTGGCACTTGGCCTTCTCACAAAGCCCTCTTGACAAGCGGCTCGGAGCACCCCCCGGGGCACAGGGCTTTTGGCCCCCTTTGCTGTGAAGGAGATGAAAGCTCAGAGAGTACAACTTGACCAGGCACAGCTTCGCAGAGTTGCTCATAGATGATAGAAGCAGGGAAGGCTGGGGTTAAGGTGTAGTTTTGGTCTACTGCGGCTAAGGTAAGTGGTGAGCTTTCTGAGTGAAAGGTCTGGAAACAAGGTGGGACAGCAGCTGGAGCAGAGGGTGGAGCCCAGGAGGGATTCCTGAGGAATCAAGAGCAGAGAAGGGGTACCGTGTGTGGAGGGGCGTGAACCCTCCTGTCACTGTCACTGTGCCCATGAGCTGTTGGGGGATGGCAGGTGGAGGAAGTGATTTAGAAGTCGAGGGAGAGGACCCTGGCAGGGAAATCCCACTGTTGACACCACATTCATAACCTGGTCAGAACTACGGGGGTGTATTGTTGAACCCCCAGAGTTTCATGAGTTCTGAGGCAGACACGCCTACTCCCAGCAGCCCTCTAGGCCTGGGCCCTCCCCTGCCCCCTCCTGGAAGCCTTCCCGCCCTGGTGGTGAGTTGGCACCCTGCTCTCCACCATTGCCACCTGTACTCTCCATTCATTCCTTCAACTAATGTTCACCCAGCACCTACCATGGACCAGGCTCTGTCCCAGCCACCTGGAAAACTGCAGCGTGTAACATGAACAGAGATCCTATTCATGGAGCCTACAGTTTGGTTCCCTTTGCTCTCATTTCCAGCTGTTTTTCATGGTCTGTGCTTGGTATTTCTGTCCTGCCCATACCCCCAAGGCTCTTTTAATGTCTCTTCTATCTTATGTCTTTTAATCCTCACAACAGGTAGTGTTATCATTAACCCCATTTTACAAATGAGGAGACTGAGGCAAATACAGGATTTTTCACAAATTCAAACAACTATGAAATGGTAGCAAAACAGCTTCCCTCACTTGCATTTCCGTTCTTCCTTCTACCCTCCGGAAAGCTCCTGATGTGTTGGGGGAGACACCCTCAGAAAACCCACAGTCAAATGGAGGAGACAGTTCCTACGCCCAAAGAGCCTGCAACCTGAGAGGGAGAGGAGCACAGAAATAGGAAATAAGCACAAACTCTGGGTCCCAGCTGGGCCTCTGGCTCCTGTGTGATCCTACAGGAGTCACTTAGGAAAAGAAACCGGGGTGTTTCACCCCCTTGCTGGAAAGGTTATCAGCCACCATTGCGGGGAAGCTTTCTGGAGCCTGGGGCAAAGGCAGGGGGAGAAAGGAGACAGGGGGGGCTGTGCTGCTCTGGGTGGGTCTCCAGGAATGGCTGCCTCTGGGGGCCCCTGAGGCTTGGGCTCAGCCCTGCCAATCAGCTGTCCACCCCTGAAATAACAGGTCCCCAGTTTCCAAATTCATACACAGCTGGTCCAGGAACCAGATGCCAGTTTGGGAATTGCCAGGATGTGTTTGTGTAACACAGTGAGAGCGACTCCCCAGAATCTCTGCCCCTTCTCTCCATCCTGGCCACCATCCAGGCGACTACAGCCCCTCACCTGGACCCCCGCAGCAGCACCGGGCCTGATGCCTGGTTGAGCCCTTGTTGAATGAATGAATGAGCCCCTGAGCAGGTCTCCACCAGGCCATTACTGCAACCAGCAGGCTGGAGCCCATACTCAAATCTGACCCCCTTTATCTCCTGCTTTAAACTCCTCTGGGGCTCCCACTGCTCTCCTGGCGCTGTCTCCCTCTTCAACCTCATCTGCCCCCCACCCCTACTCCCCCACCTCTCTGGGCTCCAGACACAGTGAAGTTTCCCAAATGAGCCAGGCCGCCCATGCTGCTTCCTTCATCTGGGATGCCCTTCCTCTCTCCTAGCTGAGTTCTAAGACCTGTTGGGGTTAAAGGTGGACATCAGCTTCTCCGGGAAGAGTTCCACAGTTCCTGGCCCCCCCTCCCGGATTCTGGGTCAGATGTCCCTCACCAGGCCCAGAGCCCGTCCCTCAGCAAGCCGGCTGCTTCGATGCTGTTCAAGCTGTCTCTGGGTCTGGAGCCTCTCAGAGAGCAGGGAGTGGCTTGTTCACCTTGGATCCAGACCACAAGCTGGCCAGCGTGGAAAAGGGCTCAGCTTTTCAATGTTTACTGAATGGAGGGCAAGTGAACCAGAATCCTGGACCCTCCCATTGTAATTCAGTCCCTCTCCTCCCGGGAAGAGGCCAATTCAGGAGGTGAAGTTTATTCCACGAGGGCAAGTCCCTGCAGAACTGGGTGGATGATCTTGAGGGACCTTGTTACAGGCTGCGTTGGCCCGGTGAGTCACTTGATTGTGCCGAGTCACCTGAATCTGGTAGGCAGGGCAGGGACGCAGCACTCCTTACTTCTGCACACTCCAGGAAGCCCCTGTGTCTGCACCCCCTTTCCCGTTTCCCCCCACCTCTCTGTCCTCACCTTTCATCGCCTCCAAGGTGGCAGCGTTCCTTCTGGTCACCACTCCCTGATGACAGGGGCCTGGGTGTCCCACCCCTGCAGCCCCCAAGTCCCCGTGCTTCCCTCGGGAATACCTCTGCTCACAGTGACCACTCACCTCAGTTTCGGGGCCGCCCAGTTTACAAAGCCCTTTCACCTCCATTCCTGTGGGATTAGTCATCAGCCCGGGAGCCAGGTGCAATATTTTATAGCCTGATTTAAGGGTTTTTTTCCAAATGAAGAAACTGAGTGTTTTGGTTTGGTTGCCCAGGAGAGCAAGGCCTAAGACCAGAGCTGGGAGATGGCTGGAGGAAGTAGCCGAGAGGTAGAGGGAGATAAAGATGGGGAAAGAGCACAAGGCAATTAAGGGGGCATCGTTGAGCTGGTTCCACTGTGGGCAGTTGGGGCTCAATCCTGCTGGGACCCCTCTGAAGAGCCTGTCGAGTACACCTCAGAATTGTCCCTTTGAAGGACAGGAGGCCTGCGTTTATCCACCTGTTCCCACCCTCGTTGGTTAAGGATGGCCCCACGGACATTAATCCCCAACTCCCTCCTATACAGGCTGGATGTGGCAGACTGTACTGTCCAAAGACGCCACCGTCCCACACTCTCCTTGGCAAAGTGACCTTGCCACTCCCCGTACAAGAGGTGGAGTCCATTCCCTTGCACATGGGCTGGCCCTGGGCCTGTTTCGATCAATAGAATACCCTGGAAATGACCTTCTGTGTTAAGAGGCCCGGCAGCTTCCTCTTTTGTGCTCTCGGGGAAGCCAGCTGCAAGGTAAGAAATCCAAGTACCTGGAGACCCATGACCTGGAGGGGATCTGCCCAGCCGAGGAGCCATCTGGGACATTCCAGCACCAGCTGAGGCCACGTGGAGAGCCCAGCCATCCCCCGAATCTCAGAATCATGAGCAAATACATGATTGGTGTATTCTAAGCCTCTAAGTTTTGGAGTGGTTTGTTAGCAATGATAGCTGACGGGAACACTGGCTGGGCCTGCCCTGGGGCTAAGAGACCTTCTTCTGGGTTTTGGAGAAAGTTCTGGGGTGCAAACGCAGAGAGGCACCCCTGGGGAGGGGCTTGGGCAGCATGTACAGGACTGTCCACTATAGCCGCACTGGCACCCAAAGCGGGCCGAGGGATTGGGACATGGACACAAACAGGACCTACTGCCCTGAGACTCAGCCTCTTTGAAGGCGCAGAAACTCCTTACCAGGAGCTCCCTACCTTAAGCAAGATCAGAGGTTTTTACCTTAAGATATCAAAGTCTCTTCTACTTTGGGGTCTCTGGTCCTCTCTGCTATGTCTGAACAGTACTGGTAGGCCTGGGGTCTGCTACCATCTAGCCCTGTGCCTTAAATAAGCCACCTCGGCCATTTACAGTATGCTTACTGCCCATGACCTCAGATCTCATTTAATCCCCACCACACTGTGAAGTCAGTAT